AAAATAAAAATTTATATTTAAAAATTAAAATTATAATTATATAAAAATAAATTATAAACAATATATAAAAATTACTTTTATTAAATAAACAATTATTAATAAAAAAAATTAAAATAATATAATAAATTATATTAATATAATATAATTAAATTATTTAATAATAATTAATAATAAATAAAATTTATTATATTAATATACTTTATTATTATAATTATGATTAAAGAATTATAAACAAATATGAAATTAAAATTAAAATAAAATATAATTTAATATTTAAATAAATATATTTACTTAACAACATATATATAAATATATATAATTAATAAATTAATTAAATTACAAAAATCACTTGAATTAATTTCTGGCAAAAATAATTCTCCTAATTTTTTGATCAATATTGTGATCATGATTAATTGTTGTGATTATTCATGTATTTTAGTGACAAAAGGCATTTACTGCATGTAAACATAACACTGCTTTTACATCCATAATGCAACATTCCTAATATTACTCACCCACATTCCAAAATATATATATATATATTAACGAATTAATTAAAACACTTTTCCAGACCGATATGGTGCAAGCCTGATGTAAGCGCATCCACTTAACACTAAATGTAAAGTCTTTCCCTGCATTCACTGTACCTGCATGATGGATGTAGATCGACAGCTCTGACCTCCCTCTGCGTTTCCCTGCGTGCTTTTGCATGCAGTGCAGGTATCTCCTCTTCAGGAATAGAACTGAGTGAGCGAGTCCGTGTGCTGAAACCTTTATTGTGGACATGACGAGTCAATGTCAGATAATTCACGTCAGTAACCATTTCTTTATTTTTTTAGCCTTTGTGCGTCAGTCGTGCTGCAGTTCGTGGATTGTTTTCAGGCGTTTAACCTCCTGGGACCTGCCGTCCACATGTGGACGTCACATTTTGGGTTATTTAGACCAAAATACTCAGTTTTGCTCTACCAGGGCCTGATATCCACTTACGAGGACGTTATACTGCTACTGTTCTATCAGAATTTTAAACGAATATCCTCATATGTGGCTCTCATTTTTCTTAAAAACAAAAATAGGTTTTAAAAAAAAATCTGGCAATTCTTTGTTTTTACATTCATCGGGCCCCGATGTGACCAAATATCAAAGAGAAATTAAAAATGCTGCCGTGGAAGAGTTCGGGTCTTAGGAGGTTAAAGCACTCTTCACACGTGATTTCGTCTTCATTGCGTCTCTTCCATTAAATTCAAAGTATTTCAAAACAACAGAGTATGATGCTGAACGACAAGCTCCTCCCCCTCTGCTGTACAGCACAGCTCAGTTTTGTTATATGTGTCTTAACACAGTGTTACTCGTGCAGACGAGTTCAGGAAACCTTCAGAGAACAGCTGTGATTCAGGAAGTGCTTGATGTGCTTTTGTGTTCTGTTTGTCGAGCACACAGTTTCAGTTTTGTTCCATGATCATCATTTCATAGAAGGAAGCCGAAATCAAATTCAAGGCTGAAATCTGGTCATTTCACTGCCCTACAAGCTACTGATCAACACAATGTGACAATTTTATGTGTTATTACTTTTATTTTCTCTCATGTGCAGCAGAGACGCAACTTTAGACGACTCGGTGTCGCTTCTGTGTCACGCTGTGGCGCTCTCATGATGAGGGTTTTTAATTCTCCAGTGAAACATGATGACTCTCACACAAGGTCATTTTTTGTTTGAATTGTGTTAAGTTTGTTTGTGCAGTGTACCATTGGATGTGCGGACTGCCACTGAATTACAGTTGGTGTTTCATGATATAAAATCTTGTTAAAGCCGGCCATAGAAAGAAGTACATTTGTTCTGTTTTATTATAAAATCTGTGTTTTCCAGCACTCACACACTCTGGAAGAAAAATGTGTGTAATATGAACCGAAGTGTTTCCTGTTGTTGCTAAGTTCTGTGAGTTTGCTGCAGTTTTCTGTCACAACAATGTAAATATAAAAAGGTACAAGTGGAGACGTTGCTCGGCAACTCTTCGTTTTTAAAGCAGCTTCTTTCCCTCCAGAGTTAGACTGGCTTTGTTTTCCTTTTACCGCCATCAGTTAAGTTTGTGTGTGTATTTGAACTTGGTTGGAAAATTGGATGTATGAAATGTTTCCATTGTATTCTGTCATATTCTGATCTACGTATGATTTCTTTCCCTTGTTTTTACTCTACCTCAGATATTTGGATTGTGACCTGAGATACTGAAGCTGAGAAATCCTGTAGTGCTCACTGACCACACGAGTCTTTTATTTGTGGAAAGCATGTATCACTTTTTGTTCTTCTGTTTTGTGTTCAACTAATTTTGATTGTTCAGGATTTAGAAGTGAAACTAGGAAGTTGTAGATTTTCACCATGCTCTTATAAAAAGCTCTTTCTAAAGTTTTTTTGTCTGTTTCATGATTTATAAATCAAAGCTGCAGTAAAGATGCAGAGCTGAAGATGAAGACACTTCACAGAATCAGAAGCCACAGTGTGTCAGAATTAATACTGAACTGTTAACTTAAATCAGGAAGTGAAATTCTGGAGATGAAGATTGTCTTTTGTCAGAGTGTCCTGGGCTCAGAGACACAGAAACCCCTTCGTTTCACGACATTTACATTTCAGATGCTTTTCATTTCAGGACCACAGACAGCGACGATGTTTCCTGACTGTTGCTGCTGATATAAAGTGCTGGTTTGTGGTTGGTGTGGATTTGCTGCTCATGTGAATCCTCCCACAGTGTTTCATTAGCAGCTGTAACCACAGTGACTCTGATAAAACAGGAATTAGCAGAATCCATCTGATATGAAGCTGTGCTTTGAATACCACTTCCCTCCTCTTTGAAGAGTAGTCAGATATCTGTGTTCAGGTTTTTGTACAGCCTCTTCTACACTTTGTATCACTGTGTTTCTAGAGCACAGTAGTAGAGAGCTGTGTCTGCCAGGGTTAGGGCTGCTATGGTCAGATTAGTTGATGTAGAAGATGTTTCTGATCATATCGTTATCAGGAATATATTATTGTGTCCCCCTTTCCTCTTTCCAGAGTATAAACTTGAGGAGCCTGAAGATCAGAATGATGTTTGTACCAGTGAAGGTCAGCAACACCTGCATCGCTCATAGCTACATGTGAGTGTGACAGATTCTCCTTCTGTTTTAGTGACTTCAGGTTGTTGAGGAGTGATTGAGTCTCCAGCTGTTAGTCCTGGAAAAAGAAAGAAGAAAAGTAGTGAAATGCAGTCTGTATATCTGCTTAATGCAGCAGCTTCAACTAAACTTTAATCCCTGTTCTTAAACTCACCTATAATGTGAGATAGAAGCAAAAAGAGGTGCAGCAACATGTCTTTGGAGTTATTAAAGCCAGACAGACAGCACATGAACAATGTTCTTCCACTGCAGCACAATGACCAACAAATAATGTCATTGGATGAGCTCAACTTCAGTGGGCGGGGCCAGTTTAATAGCTCAGCCAATCAAACAGTTTTGTGCTTCCACAGCAGCTCTGCTCTTCTCTGAAGGTTTCTTACAGAGTTTTGCTGTTTCCTGTCACTGTGGGCCTCACAGCACAGTAGTACACAGCAGAGTCAGACACTGCAGCAGAGGAGATCTCCAGATAAAAATCACTTTTTTTGTCTTTTCTAAACTTCAGCTTTTCTATTTTCTTGAATGTTCTCATGAGAAGCTGTGGATGTGAACCAGACTTCTGATGGTACCAGTAGAGGTTGACAGAGCCTGAATAGTTGCAGGAGAGAGTCACAGTGCCTCCTTCCAAACTCATCACTACATCTTTAGATGGTGTCAGTAAATCCTCAGAGGATCCTGAAAACAACAAAGACATATTTCACCATCATGTTTCTGCATCTTTAAACTTAGTTTATAAAAAGTGAATCAATTCAAACAACATCCAGATATTTTCATGTCCATCATCTCCTTTTACATCTCACTCCATCTTTTGATGACTCACCAGTCTGAAAGGAGACTATCATCATCCAAATGAAAAGCAGCAACATGATTTTCTCTTGGACTGAATGAACAATAGGAGAACAAACTCTTCAGCTGCCTGTACAGAATGAGCAGCAGGACCAGTGAAGGAACCTCTCTACTCTATACATGCAGCTTGATGCCTGAATGGATTAACATGTTTGCCTTTTCCTTACTTTATTAAATATTCCACTGAAAATTAAAAACATACATGCACAAATAAATTAGTCCCATATTCAGGCACATGAACACCACACAGTTGGTTTCCAGGTACAGGTTCCATTAAAACATACATAGATGTTATACTCATATTAACAGTTGTGTTTTATGTATCTTTTTAAAAAATATATACCAATGAAAAGTACGTCAAACAGTTTTCTGGGTCCTTTCTCTTCAGCTAAACCAATTTAAAATCATCAATTAAATGAACTCAGTTCAGTTTTATTCATATAGTGCCAAATCAGAGCAATATTAAGCTTCTTGAAGCTTAATATTGTAAGGCAGGGGTCCCCAACCCTAGTCCACGAGGGCCGGTTTCCCTGCAGGTTTTAGATCTCACCCTGGGTCAACACACCTGAATCAGGTGAATGGAGGTGAGCTGAGGTGTTAGTCCTTTTGGCCACGTGCTCCATAAAGTGTGAGATGTGGTGTTTGATGGTGGGATGTAAGAGGAGGGGCCTGCACAGGTACAGCTTACTCAGCAGAGAGCATCTTATTCTTGTTTATATTCCAAACCCTGTTCACCACAGAGATCCACAGCCTGTGATACCAAACAGTCTCTGGAGCCACTGGATTCAAACTGGGAATCAGAGCATCAAGGTGGGAAAAATCCACTTATGATGTTACCGAAACCTTTTATTTTTCAGGAATGTGTAACTAATATTCCCTCCTACTAGAAACTGAGCTGTTACGTAAACGACGTGGAACGGAAGCCCTTGTCTGCCGGAGCTTGAGTCGTGACACCAGGCGGAAGTAAACAAGGAAAGCGGCAGTAGTTGTTCCAGGTGAACTTTTGCAGCGGCGGTGTGAGCTGAGTGTGTGAGCTGCGGCAGCAACGATGCCTTCAGTTCAGTATCTGAGAGAGTTTATCAACGAGCGACTAACTGCTGCTGCTGAACAAATATTCTTGGAGTTTGAAAAAACGATCGTCCAGTACGAGGAAGAGATCGACCGTCAGCGCAGACTGCTGGATATCACCTGGAAACCCCAAATCAAGCTGCACAGGACAGGTGAGTGTCCCTCTGATGCTGCCGTGATTCTCATTAACGCCGTTTTAAACGAGGAGTTTGTCCTGCAGCTGCTGTCAGGGTGAGCACAGGGACCCCACACCGAGGCTCAGGAAACCTCAGTGGGCAGACAGTCTGTCTCTCAGCCGGTGAGAGTTAATAACTAGCCCTGTGATACCCGTTATCTCTGATTGGAGTTTAAAGTTTTGGTGAGTCAGCTAGCACACAGACAGTCCGGCTAATGCGAGCTTGGTTAAAGCTCTCAGCTGATTCTGTAACGGTGCGTTGTTGTCAGCTGGGTGTAGAGAGCATCTGGCAGACGTTACAGGAGTCTGTGTGCTCCGACTACAAGACTTAAACAGTTTCTACCATCAAGCCATACGACGCCTCAACCACAACACTTCAACACACACACACAGTCCACGGGACGCACTCAGAAGCTGCAGCTTCACAAGTTCTCTGTTTAATCTGCACTGGTCACTCCACTTTATTGATAGTTATATTTTTAAAAAGTGCAATACTGTAACAACTGCCACAAAAAACAAAACTTTTGTACTGTTAGTTGTACTGCTGCTCATTCCTGTGCAATATCCCATCTGCCCCCCCCCCACATTCCTATTTAAGATTTTCTTTATTTAATCACTAGTGTGTACATATATTTATATATACATACATATATTAGTCAGTTAACTGAAAATCTCTTTTTTTTTACTACATCTTATTAATATTTTGCTCTTTACTATTTTTCTATTTATTTTTTTTATTTTATTTTTTATTTTTTTTTCTTCTACTGTACCATTCTGCTGAGTGACTGTCTGCTGCTCGTCAAATACGTTTCATTGCGATGTTGACCCTGTGCTAACTTGCATATGACAAATAAAACTGAAAACTGAAACTGAGCTGGCATCTCTTCAGTCTTCACAGGAAGGTCAGTGCCAGGGTACTCGATCTGTCCTTCCGGAGGGATCTGTTAGATTTGTAATGGACAGTAGGGGTGGGCGGTGTAAACGGTAAATGGTAGAAACGATATAAATTTGGCCAACGGTACAGATTTTGACTATACCGCTCTACCGCATGTTGATGATGTCATCAAGCTGCGCCTGTTTTGGTCGAAAGTAGTGATGGGATTTGCGGCTCTTTTTAGAGAACCGGCTCTTTCGGCTCCAAACCGGCTCTTCAGGTTGTTTTGTTGCTTTAATTAATTTATTATTAACAATAATATAAAATTATGCACAAAAGGAATTACTAATGTAAAAAAAAGTGGTTTTATTTATATATGTTTATATATAAATATATGCGGTGGCCCCTAGAGACAAAGCATAACAAATCCAAAACACATTTCTAGCATTAATTAGAGCCCCCGAGAGCAGCCAGTTGGCTTTTCTACCTTTAAAACCCGCCTACCAGCCAAATGGCTTTTAGCTAGGCTTTAGCTTCAGCCAAGTGGAAGCTAAATTGGCTAGTCATTCATATGTAAATTAGGTTGTTACCTGGGAATTCTGGAGGGGAGTGGGGGTGTGTGAATGAGGGGGTGGGGGAGCTGCTAAAAGCTGTGAACTTCCTTTTGTGTTCGTCTTGATGCATTCTCAATCATCCAGGGAAATAAATCTCCAAAAGTCACCAACTTGGAGTGTTTCAGTTTGCCATCTTAGGGAGAAATCAACACACATGGGTGTATGTCCTTTGTTGCTGAGATTTATTGATAAAAACAGTACAAAAAACCAACCATTTGTACACATATTTACAAATAATAATAAAAAGTGAGTGAGTACATTTCAACATTTTCAGCAATCACTCACAATCCTGGCACTGCCATGGTATCTGTAGTCTGCATTTACCACATGTGTATCTGTAGCAGTGAACACATCGCACAGTGGCATGATTGTTCTTGCATTTGTGTTTGACCTGACACATGACTCTTTTTCCAGGGCTCGGTGTGGAGGGTTGTGTCCGAAGCAGCTGTTCTTTTCTTGCCTTCTTTTTTTCTTTTCTCTTTTTTTCTTTTCTTTTCTTTTTTCTTTTTTTTTTAACAGCTGACAGCATCGATCATCAGCAGTGACAAGAAGAGGACATTTTTTTATGGATTTCTTTACTGACTCACACTGTGGAGCCTTATTACAATCGATATTTTAATATGCGTTTTTCTTCTCTCCTTTCATCCTTACAGACCTCCAACAGCAACACATTTTTAAGGAAGAGGAGGATCTCACTAATCAGGCACTCCAGCTGAGTGTGGACCAGGAGGAACCAGAACCTCCACAGATTAAAGAGGAACAGGAGGAACTGTGCAGCAGTCAGGATGGAGAGCAGCTGGGACTGAAGGAGGAGACTGATACCTTTATGGTGACTGCTGCTGAGGAAGGAGAGCACAGTGAACCAGACAGAGAGAGGCCACTCCCTCACAGCTGTCCTGAAACTCACACCCAGGATCAGGAAGGAAGCAAGAAAGTAGATCCAGGATCAACTGGAAATACGAACAGAAGAGCCAGTAACAATGCTGAAGACTGTCCCATTTCAGGTAGTCAATGTAAAACTGAAACAGGTAAAAAGTCTTTAAAATGTGATATTTGTGGAAAAAGCTTTAAGAAAAGGTCCCAAATAAAAGAGCATTACAGAATCCACACTGGTGAGAAGCCACATTCTTGTAAAATATGTCAGAGAAGTTTTTCTCATAGGAGCAATTTGGTGCGCCACATGAGAATCCACACGAAAGAGAAGTTACATTCCTGCCAGACATGTGGAAAAACCTTCAGTCAGAACAGTCATCTGCTGGTCCACATGAGAATCCACACAGGTGAGAAGCCGTATCCTTGTGAAACCTGTGGGAAAAAGTTCACATGTAGTACGCATTTGTCAGTGCACTTAAGAACGCACACAGGTGAGAAACCCTTTCATTGTAAAAGATGTGGGAAAATGTTCTCACGAAGCAGTAATTTGCTGGAGCACATGAGAACACACACAGGTGAGAAGCCGTATCTTTGTAACACATGCGGGAAAAAGTTCACATGTAGTAGTCATTTGTTAGTTCACATAAGAACTCACACAGGTGAGAAACCATATATTTGTAAAATCTGTGGGAAAATGTTCACACGTAATAGTGTTTTGTTGCGTCACATGAAAACTCACACAGATGAGACGCCATAGTCTTGAAATTTTTCTAGAGAAGACATCCAAAGCGACTCCAAACTAGGAAAAAAAGAGATTCATGGTTAGTGTTATTACTATTCAAGGTTTATTAGAGTGCACTCCAACTGTGATCATGTGAGTTTTGTTCCATCTGTGTCACACTTCACTGCCATCATGAGGATGAAAGAAAACTCCAAATGAAAAACATAATGAATATTAAAATGATCTCATTGCCAACTGGATACAATTCATATTGTGAACATTTTTTTCCAACCCTCATATGTAACAAAAGTAGAATAAAGATGTCCAGCATGTTGTTGTAAAAGACTCTGTATTTAAAAAAAAAAAAAGAAATAAAATGTATTTTTAATGATGAATGATGTCAGTGTTTTCTTTTTTTCAAGCTGAGGAGTTAAAGGCTTTTTCTCAGAGCATCATTAGTGTTAGTAATCGATACAGCTATCAGTGCCTGTTGTTTTTGTGATGTCATGTATTCATTCTAAACATAAAGTCTTTGTAAAGTTGTAATGTAGAAACGACAGATTGACACTGAAGGCTGCAGAGAGCTGTGACTGATCATAAGTGAAAGCGGTCACAGAGGAGAGTTCAGTTCAAACATGTAAGATATGCTTTAATCTCCCAGCTGACCTGCTGCGGGTTAAAGTTTGATATGATGGTACTCTGATCAATGTAAACATGTCGTACTGAACCTACTTTTTTTTACAATAGTGCATATAGCACATTTACACTAGCACTCTAAGGTACATCATGATTGTCCTCCGGTGGCTCAGATTAATGTTTCAATTCAAAACATGAAACTCTTAATTTTTTTTGTGCTTCCACAGCAGCTCTGTCTCTGTCTCTGATCTTTACTGCTTCATTTCTCTGTTGTCTTTGTCATCAGTCCAATGACACAAGAATCAGAGGTTTAACAGTGTGTGGCTCCCTCTAGTGGATGTTGTGGAGTATTCTGTTGTCTTTGCTCCAAAGGTTTTTGTACAGAGTTTTGCTGTTTCCTGTCACTGTGGGCCTCACAGCACAGTAGTACACAGCAGAGTCAGTCACTGCAGCAGAGGAGATCTGAAGAGTCATCAGTGTTTTATCTTCACTCACTTTAAACGTTATTCCAGGAAATGGATCTGATATTCTGTCTCCTGTTCCAAAATGAGAGATCAGGAACTCTGGTGGTTTTCCAGGATATTGTCGATACCAGAAGAAGTAATCAGTTCCAACAGCAGCTTTGGAGTATCTATAGGACAGAGCAACAGCGCTGGCTTCTAAAGTAAATTCTTTTTCTTTGGTTGGAGTGAGTTCTTCACATCTGATAACTGAAGAAAAAGGAATATCTGTTATTAATCAGTTACACAAAATTTACAGTAATCATTTAATTGAACATAGTTTCCTGTGTAGGTGAGCAGACCTGTGAGAGTGAGAAGAATCAGAGGAAACACACAGTGATGTAATGACAGCATGTTGAGGAACATAAAGTTTGTTTTGTGTTGAACTCTGTTGAATGTGGAGGTTTTTCTCTCTTCTATAGTTCAGTAACAGCTCAGCTCCTCCCTGAATCTCTGCTCCTCCTCTCTGCTCTGTGTTTGCTGTGTTGCTCAAAGACAGTAATTACTTCAGGACATGATTTAGTTACATAAAGGTAATAAATAAGTGTGTAATTAATAAATATTGTAAGTAAATTTATTCTAAAATGTTTTGGCTTTGAAATCTGATCAGAGGAAGACGTGTGTCACAAATGATCTCTGTTGTGTTATGCATTGAGCAACAGTAGCGTTTGGCCATGACCCTGTCTTTGGCGTATCTTCTCCGGTAATGTTGTGAACAAATGTTTCAGCAGGAATAAAAGAGGAAGCTCATGTACATGCTCGTGCCTCGGGAAACTTTCATCTTTGTGAGTATTAATATGTTCAGATAGAACGTGGATATGTCTTTGACACCACCTTTTAGCTCATGTAATGTAATGTGCATGTTTTTAAAGTAGGTTAATTATTAAGTCTGGCATTGAGACGTGTGTGTTAGCGAGGAATTTATTTTTCATACAAAAGAAAAAAGCCTTAAGAAGGAAAAGGTTTATAAAGAGCTTCAGTAAAATGAAGAAAAACAAGACTTGCTCCATTTATCAGCTTCCTGCTTCTCATAGAGCACTTTTCTACTTGAGCGCTCAGAGTGCTTCATACAACAGCCTCGTTCACCCTTTCACACACATTTATACTCAAAGAGCAATTTCAGGTTAATCAAAGCCTCCCGTAAAAATCTGTTTTCTAGTTGTAATCTGCTGAATGAATCATCTGCAAGAGATAAAATCATCTATTAAAATATTCTTAATATTCTGTGAGCAAACAAAACGGAGAAAGATGAGTGTTTGGTTTGAAACAGGAATGTTCCCACGGCTGTGTTTCTTCCAGCTCTGCTGCTCTGCTGCTGCATGACAGGCTTCACCTGAGCTGAACACTGTGATTACAAGACTCAGGAGGAGACTCGTGACGTTATTGTAGCTGCTGAAGTTCGCTGTCACAGCTGTGCCTCATTCTCTCAGAGTCTACAGAGGTTTAACAGTGTGTGGCTCCCTCTAGTGGATGTTGTGGAGTATTCTGTTGTCTTTGCTCCAAAGGTTTTTGTACAGAGTTTTGCTGTTTCCTGTCACTGTGGGCTCACAGCACAGTAGTACACAGCAGAGTCAGTCACTGCAGCAGAGGAGATCTGAAGGTTCAGACCATTTCTGTCATCGACCATTCTGACAGAAAGTTTGGAATTTGTTGTGTTTTGTGTTCCCAAGTTAAAGGTCAGGAACTCTGGTGGTTTTCCAGGATATTGTCGATACCAGTAGAACTGATCACTTCCAGTTGCTTGTCTGGAGTATCTGTAGGACAGAGTAGCTGTGCTGCCTTCCAAACTGGACTCTTCAGCTTTGCTGGCAGTGAGTTGTTGACAGCTGACACCTAAAGAAACAGAAATCTGTAAATATTATACAAAAAAATCGTGAATAATAATTAAAATATTAGGATGAAGTTTTTTCACATGTACCTGTTAGAATCATGATGATTAACAGAGAAGTTTCATAACAGCCCAACAACAACATGTTGGACTGAATCTTCTGTGTTGAATGTGGAGGTTTCTCTGTCTCGTCTGCTCTTCAGTCGCAGCTCAGCTCCTCCCTGAATCTGTGTCTCCTCTGGTTTTTATTTCCTGATCAAATCTTGTCACAATGAGACTTTTCTGTGTTCTAACACTCACCTATGCAGTGAGAGAAAAGTACCAACAGGTAAAGGAACATGTTTCAGGTGCTGAAGTCACACAGCAGATGAACAAAGTTCAGCAGAATGAAAAGACTAAGCAGCCTCTCTGCTGCACAGCCTTCTCCTCAACATCAGGCTGGAGTTCTGCAGAGAGAGACCATCTCATTGGCTGAGTTCAGCATCAGTGGGTGGAGCCAGACAGAAACCTGTTAAGGGTCTTTATGAACAGCGAAACATCTGCTGGTGTTAAAAGAAACTAAAGAGGTGCAGTTACAAGTACAAGTACATCCAGACAGTGACTTTTACGGCTGGCTTCTCCACATCAGTGTCTGCACAAGTTTCCCGTTCAGACTGTAAAGTTTGGGGAGGAGAGGATTCCCTGGAATCATCAGTGACAGTGAATTCACTGATAACTACACAATTATTTGACAGCAGGGAAAAAAGCATATCTGAACCTGTGTTTCTGTTCGGCTGTGATAGTTGTAGCAGTCAGACAGTGAGTGAGAGAGACAATCTGCTGTGTACTTAGAAGCCATTTTTTCTGCTTCTGTTCTGATTCTGAGTTAATTTGGGTTGAACCCAGGACTGTATCGGCGTTGGCTGAATAGCAGTGGTGTTCACCTCGCGGTGTCAGAACACACAGGACGCACAAATAAGGTTATTCCGTCTTTACTGTGATTCTGTAGCTTAACAGCGCAGCACAGCAGCACAGTAATGCAACCGCAGGCTTACAGAGGATGTACAAGAACTCGTAGGTGTGGGGGCTGTTAGCTGTTAGCTAACAAGAGCAGAACATATACAAAATACTGAATATAACAAACATTTAAGTCATGAATTAAGATTCATGAGCTTTCTTCCAGTCTGACCTGAACTACAAATGGAAATTCCGATATGAAGATCTCCATGCACTACTCAGAAAACCTTACAGTCCATGACATTAATTGCCAATACACCCAACAACACAAAACAGCCAATCAACCAAAGCGGTTCCCCCATGATCGTAAGGTCAGGGGTTCGAATCCCCTGAACGGCTACCCTGAGGTACCCCTGAGCAAGGTACCATCCCCACACAGTGCTCCCCGGGCGCTGCACTGGTGTCTGCCCACTGCTTCACTGAGTGAATTTCCCCACGGGGATCAATGCAAAGTGTGCATTTTTATTATTGTGTACAACATTAGCAGCATGAACTAGCCACACAGTTGAACAGGCCAATACACTTTGCACTTCTACATCCACTAAATGCCTAAAAGACTAAAGCTGTCCTTTCCAGGCAGGGCTCCACGTCCACTCAGTTCTTTAGCAACGCGCACGACTCACACCGTGTGTCGACATCC